GGGGGGGGGGGGTTAGTGGGGATGAAAGTGTTGTGTGTAGATTTTAAGAAAGAGCTTTGCAAAGGTGTAGTATTCTGTGTCACTCGTGAATGCTAAAGTTCACAAGTCCACGGTTAAGTTGTGGACATGGTACTACTCGCTTGCCCAGATCGAAGTAGAGGGTTTTCTTGGGGGACCCTACCCGGAGCCTTTGGTTAAATAACCTGACCCACAAGTCAGTGGGGTGGAATATGGAGTTCACGATCTTCTGGGGGGCCAGTTCATACGGCTTTCGGATGTGGCCAACTATTCAGGGTACTGAAATTGCTCTTGAACAGCGTAACTCCCGATGAGCCTCACGGTGGTCAACTCCGAAGGTTAACTTAGGAAACCGGTTCGGTTGCGTCAAGGATTGGTACCACTACGAGCTTCTTACGCCAGATGAGGGTGGAAAACCGGTACAGAACGGGTGCATTATCGCTTGCTGCGTACTGTTTCCTTGTACACGGCAGAGGAATTTTGTCCCCTTCCCCAGCGCACAGTATCCCCGGAGTGGACATGAGGAGGACATCATACACTCCGTTCATTGACTGAGGAACTGTGGTATGTGCTAACTTTGCTACTTATCAAACTGTTCGATCTCTCGCCGATAATCGGAAAGTTACCTGGGACTAAAAGAAGTATTGGTAGCATAGTTGATCAAGTGATGGTGCAAAGGGACATATGTTAACTACCAGCCGGAAAAACTGACCTCCACAGCTCTTATAGTGCTGGAACAGCTTACAGCTGAGCAACAGTGTGCGCATTGGAAGGAAGTCCCATGTGCCTCTCTCACGTCCATTTAACGGTGTTTTGTCTACCCGTAAACGGCTCCCCTTGTTCACTAGTTTGACTTCTTCAGGAGCAAGGTGAGTCCTAAAAGGAAACTGGTGCGTTGTAAAACTAAGCTTTTTCTGATCTTTTGGGGATTATTGGATTTGCTCATAGGAGAAGCCATCCTGATCAGCGAACTGGGTTATTCAGGCCCGCAAATAATCACATTATCTCGCGGTAGTCTTTTCATGAGAGAAAACGTTCAAATACGAAAAACCGTAGAACCTGATCGACCTACCTCGGTTTCATCATTTTGAAAAGACCCGAAATGCAAAGTTCACGCATGGTCTTTATAGCCGTTTGAAGCTGCTGCACATGCTGCAACAGTACAAACAGATCATGCGGATAAGTAGAAGCAGATTTTACCTAATACGTTCCCCTGCTCGTTTTTCCTCAATCATGTGGTCATGACTGAAGTAATGTTCTTCACGTAATGATGAAATTCAATGTTGACATAGGTTTTTGTTGTTGCTATTCGATCAGTCCCGCGCCGCACGATATTAACCGCTTTTAAGTCACAGGTCAAAGATCCTTGTTTCATAACTTTTCCTTATTGTTGTAGATAGTCTTTTCGGAGCTGATCACTGTTCTGTAAGAAGCGCACCCAGGCGCTTACCACGAATTGCCGAGTAAAATAACGCCAATATTACCAAATTTGGTGTTCGTTTAACTTTTCATTATGAAGTAAGTGAAATCATCTAGTTTCCATAACCTTTAGGGTGAACATTGATGGACTACTAGTTTACTTCCCCTATGAGTATATATATCCTGAGCAGTACCATTACATGATAGAGCTCAAACGGACATTGGACGCAAAGGTTGGTTCCACAACGGTTACATGATCTTTTAGGGACATGGAATCTTGGAAATGCCATCGGGGACCGGGAAGACTGTTTCGCTGTTATCGCTTGTGGTTGCATACATGAAAGCTTATCCGGGCGCCGTTGAGAAGTTCATATACTGTTCCAGAACAGTACCCGAAATCGAGAAGGTACTCATTTTAAATCTTATAATTCTTATTTTCACAGGTTGTTGAAGAACTGAAAGTGCTTCACAAGTATTATTTCACTGAAACGAAGGACGGTTGTGGGCTCCTCGGAATTGCTCTCAGCTCGCGCAAAAATCTATGCATCGAACGCGATGTTCGTCGCGCTGGTGATGGAGCGGCCGTTGATGCGGCTTGTTTTAGGCGAACCGCAAGTTTTGTCAGAAAAAAACAAGCCACAGACTCCTCTGTTCCAAGTTGTAAATATTTTGAGGAATTCGAAGCGAATGGAAAAGAAGCCCCGTTGCCCATGGGAATTTATAATCTCGTACATTAGGTTTCCTTTTTCACATTTATTTTTCTAGAGCGATCTGAAGGCGTATGGCAGCAAAAAGAACTATTGCCCTTATTTTCTCGCCAGATATTCGGTATGAATCCATGCATTTCATTCATCTGTTAGATTATGCATGCAAACATAATTGTGTACAGTTACTATTATCTGTTGGATCCAAAAATAGCCAATATGGTCTCTCGTGATTTACCAAAGAATTCCGTAATAGTGTTTGACGAGGCACACAATATCGGTGAGTTTCCGAAATCGCCCTTCCCGATTGTAACACAATTTTCGAGATGACTAGTATAAAATATTGGTCTGATTTGTAACGTTTTTGTGGTTACGTGCACTGCTATGTGTGTATCCTGTCATGGATTCTCATTCAACTCCCCGATTGGAGTAGTACGATTGATAATGTCTACCTTTCTTATCAAGGCTCAGTCTATTTCAACAAGAATTCAAATAATCCTTGTGTTTATCTGTAGAAAATTTCATCCATTGGAGGTCGGTGTCCATTTCATCGAATCATACGCCCTTTGGACGGGTTCAAACCTCCATAGTGCCCAGTACACCTCGATGCCCACTCAAGCCGGCGACCACTGCCACAATCAGAAAGTTGTGTGCGGTTCGTACGCCTCCTCATGATTGGTTTGGAATTAGGGTTTTTGGCCAATTCCCCTTAGTGAACTACCAGTGGTCCTCCAACGCGGTTATAGCCCCGGATGTCGGCTTTTTGTCCTCTCTTATTGGTGGGAAAGTACCTCCGCCTCAAGGCGGTAGTGAGTATGGGGGCCATCTCACAGTAGAGGCTATTTGAGATGTTTGGTCGTGTGGGAGCATTTCGCGAGGCGCAAGGGAGGGGTGACCAGCCGCAACCCTAAACACCCACCCCGTAAAACAGCTACGTTTCGTTCCGGGTCTCATTTTAACCGGAAAAAGTAAATTTTGTCATTTAACGAAATACATTGACAAAACTCTCCAACAAGACCAAAAACAGGATGATATCGTGAGATTCGATCGGTCTACAAACTAACAACTTAACGGCCCAACGGATGAAATCAGGATACAACATCGTCTCGTACACAATAGATGCGTTTATCTGTTGCCTATTTGTGGTTTCGTCATGATATATGTGGATCCCTGAAAGGTGGCATACTTATTGCAGCATTTTGGTTAATGATACAACATTCTTTTGTAACAAAGTAATTTACCATGAAAGGGCTGAGCCCGGTAGTTGGAAACACTGTAACAGGGGAAAATATCTGGCAGAACATGAAACTGAGAAACAATTTGTCGGTCTTGCTTTTAAAAGAGTAAGATTACAAGAGGTTGGAAACATGGAGATGGGAAGAGTGTTTCGCAGTTTCGCACTCCCGAGGACCGAAAGATAGAAGTTCGATATCTAGATAAAAAAACTTGATTACAGCAACTGTCCACCGGTAGAGTGGGATGGACAAGGGAAAAATCGAAGGGAGGCGAACTGTTGAATATAGTTCAGAATAACAGCAAACGAAATAGTAATGATAGAAAAGCGATAGCGAAGCAGCAAACAGTCGATAAAGCAACTACAAGCAACTGGAAGCTACAGACGATTCGTGAATCAACTAGATTGCCCCTACTTTGAATGAGTGGTATTCAAAGCTCCATCCCGTACACACAACTGCAGTATTCGAGCATCAGGCGAATTCGAGCTTTGTACGAAAGGAGAATGTGGGTGTTTGTGAAGTGGCACCGGGTGTGGAATTAGAAACAGAATTTGTGCGCAGCGCAAGTGGCGAGTGTGAATATAAAAGAAGATCAGCTGAGAGAAAAATCCATGGATAAACCCAAAGGGGAGAGAGAATTTGTGGACCGAAGCGGAAGTGAGTCAAAACTCACTTGGGTAAGATACGGAATGGAGAATGGCATCATCGGAAAAGCAGTGAGTGGGATTAGAGGTTTTGGGGAAAAAGATCATTAATCAATAGACAAAAGAGGGTGGGCAAAATTATGGCATTCTGGTGAATACTGTCATTCACAGAAAGACCCCGTCGACTCGGACGGTTATAGTTCGCATGCTGAGGAAACAATACAGCCACGATACAAAGGATGGCGGAAATCCAAATGTGGGTAATTTCGAAGGCAGACCTTCGTGCTAAACGCGATCTAAGGCCTTCAAAAATGTGAGCGAGATCAAGTGAGTTTCTCCGTGGTTATCGAGTACAGTTTATCAGGAAGGCGATGTGAGAGTCAGCAAGTCACCCGTGGATCGACGAGGGTGAAATCGATGTTAACGGCCATTCCAAAAGTTTTACGTCTGAGAAACGCACACAGAGATAAGGGACTATTGTTATTAGCGACTGAAGACTCATCATTCCTTGGGATGGCAAAAATAACGGCGTTTTCTCACAGCGTGGAGTCAGATTTCAGATCAAGGGAGCGACAGAAAAGATGGCGTAGGCAAAGCAATAACTCCGGGGTACACATTTTTAAAGCCATGAGTAGAATGCCGTCCTTACCAGGTGGTTTACAAATATCCAAACCATGAAAAGTTTAATGGATCGTTTTGGTTGTTATAGGAGATAGAAAGGAATGGCTGGGTGTATAGAAAGAGGGTTGAAGAATAGAGCAGGTTGATAAGGTGAAGATAGACGAGGAACTGAAGATCTCTACCTTTTCGTGGGGCTCACAAACAAGAGAACCAGTACAGCTGTAGATAGGAGGAGAGTTGGAAGAGCTAAAATTACGGGCAACCGCCTTAATGAGCGACCAAAATGTTGAGCTATCGATGGAGGGTGAATTCAGGTGCTCCGCTTTGTTTTAAATGAAATATTCTTCAGCTTCCTGCACAGCAAGCGAGCATTTGTTTCTGGTTTGCACGAAACGGTTATGAGATTTCGGGTTGGGTGAGCGGCACCAGCGTCGGAATCCTAAATCTAAAACTTACAGCATGCTTGCCTATATGAGTGAACCAGTCAGGGATTGTAGTTTTCCCGGTTTGGGAAAGTGTTGAATAAAAAGGTACCGATCCTGAAACCTAAATGGAAGCATCAAACTTAAAACAACAGTCATTCTAGAGATAACAGGCCAGCAAGTCCCCAAAACCGTCCTAATTGGCTCAGTCGTAACGCCTAAAGGTGCTTCCTGAGTTAGGTGATGAATTGAAGCGAAAGAAGTGAATGGAGAGAAAATTAGACAATGGTCCGATGCGCCGAAAGAGAAGGAAGAGGAAACAGATACCAGAAATACTTCACTACGGCTGTCTCTTTGGAAAGGATAAGCCGACTAGAGACATGATCATGAAGTTCCTTGGGAGTTTGATGCTAGAGACGTCCCCGGCGTCACTCAGCGTTTTTTATTTTGAGGGCACACCTCTACCCTTTGTACAACCAAGTGCAAACGGCAAGGCAGCAGAGAATAACTCCCCGCCTCGGAAGTGAGGGGGTCAAATGGTGGCCTGGGGGTCCCGGGTTCGAATCCCTTCACCACCACCCGTCTTCCCTATGTCTTTATTTCCCCAAGCAGCCTTTGTATATCCGCAGCCCCCCTCCTGAAAGTTGACTGTACATTTGTATATTGAATAAATAAAAAAGGAAATACATTTATTTCAATGGCTTTAGCTTTTAAAGGCCAGTCACATCGACCTCTGTCAGGACTCCGTCACTGGGCTTATGCGGCTTTTAAACAGGAACCAGGTGAGCAGCCTGCAACCAACCACATCTTGGTATGACCGCCGCTGTTTGTTCGCGCCTGCTTATTTGTTTCGGTATGCCACAACTAACTAGCTTACCTTCTTCGGTGAAGGTATCCCCTCCCCCTATCCACAACCCGGGGACATGCCTGCTGGCATTCAGTTCTGCTTAACCCGAAGGTACCCAGGCACAGATACAAGAAAGAGACCAGGGGTCTTGGGATGGTCACCAATCCTGTAGGGGATGCTTGTGGGTAGGTCCACGAGTTGACTCACAGCAAAAGCCTTGACTTCGTGTCCCATGATCGAAGTACCCGAGCGCTGTCTGAGATATTCTTTGTTGTGGACATTGGAACACCCTACGGTGGTAATTTTGTCTGTGGGAATCTACCGCCATCCACGTCTCAGCGTTGGACGATAGAATCGCAACATTTACAGCCAAACTGATTCTTCCCTCATATATTGACATATTCGATAACAAGGTTTTTTTTTGCAAATTGCTTTCTGTTCATTCGATACTCGCAGTGGTTTAGCATATTGTCACTATGTGGTTATATGCGTATTAAAATGTCTTCCTTTCGTTTGTAGATAATGTCTGCATAGAATCAATGAGCTGCGTTTTGACCCGCCGTTCGCTGGAACGAGCTACCACAAGTCTGAATACGTTAACTGAACGCGTGAAGGAGGTGAAGTCCCATAATGCTGACCAGTTGAAGGAAGAATATCGTCGACTTGTCGAAGGGCTCAGAGAGGCTCGCGTTTCGAAAGAAACAGATCAGGTTTTGGGTAATCCGAGTAAGTTCGTGTTGTGTTTCCTTGAAACACATTGTTTTTATTTCACACAACTGTGTTTCTGTGTTCCGAGGAAACAGATGATATAGAAAATCATGCGGAACGATATGTGCCAAGAACTGTGTGAGTATGGATGATAATGGAGTAGTGATTTTTTTCTGCAGATGTCGTTATGAAACTGATGCAGTTTTAAACATGACGGAAGATTTTCAGTAGTTGGTACTTCTTATCGGGATTTCTAGAGGATATAATTGGTAATATACGGTTATATTTTGTTTGTTTTTTCACACACATCTGAATTCCGACTGTGTGCCAAACATCATGGCATGCTAATCTTTATCAAAAAGAAAAAGTTACGTGAGTTGCATGTGAGTGGAACATTACCAGGCTGCTCAGGTCAAGGCAGGTGAATTTTCTTCAATTATCCCCAAACGAAGCCTTTGATTCGCCAAAGCCTAACCCACAAGGCAACGGGGCGGTCTGTGAAAACCGCAATCCATTGAAGGCCGACGTCCGGTTCATCGGATCTTACGCCCTTGGATGGAGTCTAGCGTCCAAGGTGTCCAATACACCTCGATAGCTAATCGAGCTGGTGACCACTGCCACAATCAGGAGGTGTGGGTGTGGTTCGTTCACCTCTTGGTTGGTTTGGAATTAGGGTTTTTAGCCAACCCCCCTCGGTGAACTGCCAAGAATTCGCCGACCCGGTTACAGCCCAGGCTGTTGGCTTTTCGTCCTTTGGTGGGAAAACACCTCCGCTAGCGCGAGAAGTTAGTGGTGAGTCGGGCTTTTTCAACAGAGGCTGTTTGAGACGCTTGGTCTTATAGGAGCATCTGGCGAGGTGCAAGTTAGAGGTGATCAACCACAACCCGACCATACAGAGGCATGGGAATTTTGCCATCAAAGTTGGGCAGAAAAATTACTACTTGTTGCAGCAAAAATGCTTATTCTTCTATGCACCGGAAAAGAAAAACGTGCGAATGGTCTCCTAATGTATCCAATTATTCGGGGCAGTGGCCAAACTGATAAATTAGGACGAACTGAAGCTCACCTGTTCGAATTCGAACCAACCTTCCACCACTCCTTTTTGTTCTTAAGCATCTTTGCTTTCGTTGGACTCGGTACCACGTCTAGTTTTCTGCGATTTACTGTTCCCTTAAGCCTCGGAGCAGTTTTCAGAGCTTGTCACTCATTGGAGCAATACGCTGTGCTGTTCGGAGAATATTCAAATCGCAGTAGTTCCCGTAGATGTTTTTTTACAACAGATTGACATACCTTCGATTGGTCTGTACGCGTTTCCTAAACTGGATTCAAATCACCATTTGGTAACGTCATTAATGAGCTCTCTATCTGTATCTCACCAGACTAATCTCCAACTTCAATGAGATACTCTCGATTCAGGGGAGTAAAAGGAAGACTCAAGTAGTGGATCCATCACGATAAAACTGCAACCTTGATATGGTGTGACGGTTTGCGTGCCTCCATGATCCTGCGAGATATATAGGATGATTTTTCACAGCCGCAGATCCAGTCTCGTTTGAAAGGTCATTGGATAGAGGCCAGATAAAGCTCAGTTTCACAGGCCAGGTAATTGAGCAACTCCTGACTTCTTTTGACTATCCAGCTGCAACCTTGGAGAGACCATTCCATCGGACAAACACGGGAAGGAGCAGTCTACCGGTCAAAAATCCCCACCCAGTAACGTGCTGCTCCGTCCACATTTCTCCTGTCTCGTTGGGTGCAGGAGTTGAACAGAACACTGAAGCGAAACCTGAAGACCCTGTCTGTCAGGACGCTAAAAGCTCCTACACTAGTGCATCGGTTTCGCTTGCGCCTTAGTTCTACACTCCTATACCTCGCGGATCAGACTTTTAGCCAAAGGCTTTAGTCAAAGTTCTCAAAGAAAAATTCGTTTGTTGGTGTGGGCTGCCGCAAAGTATGTCGTACCCTACGCAGCCATTTAGTAAATCCTTTCAAAGGGGAGATTCGTCGTGTGTATAGAGCAAATAAAACGTGAACTGTAAAGCTAGGAAGCACTGGATAGCTGTTTTGACCTGGTTGGGTCTCATCAGCAGTGCGAATTCATCGACCCAACTGGGGATCGAATCCGGGATCTCTTTCTCATCTGTCTAATTCTTCCTCTCACTCCCGTATCATACGAGTTGTCTCTTGTTTTTACTGCCCATAAATTATCACTCAACGATTAACTTGTGAGGTCATCCAGTCAGAAGCTTTAGGATTAATATAGCTGAAATGTCCGTTTCACCTAGCTGCATTTCAATATCCGCAAACTCCATCAGATTGGTCAAAAAGTTGCCTTAGCTAGCACCATTGAAGCTTTCAGTTTAGACATATGCTGTATCTCCGATACATGCATACAAGATCCTACTGCAATTATCACCCTGCATTCTTCATATCCAACCTAATCTTCACACTTCGCTCTCCATGTGTCAGGTGATTCGGCATCCAAAGCTTGCGGTGTTGCTGGTTTCGAGATTGCGCCAAATTTGTGCCAAGTTTGAGCGCGTGCTTCTTGACTGGATTAGAGTCAATAGTCCACTGTGCGCCGTATGCCACGATTTTTCAGTACGGGTCAACAGTTGCTGAACGAAATGTTGGTGCTTATTTGTCGTGTCTGTGCATACACTGAACGATTAAAACACGCTTGAAATGGAGGATGAATTCGACAAGGATTTTTCTTAACTGCCCGGGAGTGTTCGGTCAACGGATATCGAAATAGTCGCGGGAAACTTCAATGTTCATTTGAGATTCCTGGACGAATCCGAAAGTTGCCTAGGTGGCCAGCACGCAATCCAAACCAACTGGACAGACAACGGAGATCACCTACTTCAAATCCGCGAAGACCACGTATCTCTCCATCAACCGGGAGGTGGTGGCCCTGTGGTAACGTCACCAAATTATCACCCCGGGGATGTGTGTTCGAATCCCACCATCACCACCTGACTTCTCCCATGCTGTGTGTGTTGAATGGCAGCCTTCGATTGGCCTCCTCCTTCCTGAAAGTTATATCTTTGTATATTCAATAGAAAGGAAGTAAAATGAAAAGAAAAAAAGAAGAACTACTAGATTATCGTACAAGAAAAGACACTGCCTTGTATGGAAACCAGCCACTTCTTCACAGTGATGGACTGAAATCGACCGAATCGGCGTCAGCTGCCACTGGCGGGGTTCGCTGCTTCGCAAAAGAATGCCGCGGAAGTACGTGAACATACTGAATTCACTCTGCTCACATACCTCTGGTAGCATAAGGGTCTATGGCGATCTGAGTAGGTTGTTCGTAACCAGCAGCCGTGTTTTTCAAGGGTGTCCTCTTTCGCCATTCCTGTTCAATTTCGTCATAGACGAAATGCTGGAGAACGCAATAAGTGATCTCCAAAATTTAGGTATTGAATGGGCAGCTGGAGCAAAGCTGTGCGATTTAGGATACGCTGATGACGTCGTCTGTCTGTTCGAATATATGAAGGATGCACAAAGAGCACTTGACAGATTATCAAGCTCTGTCGCTCCGTTCGGCATGTGCTTTGCACCTTCAAAGTGCAAAATGATGCTACAAGACTGGGTGTCGCCGAGGTCTGTTCTGAAATTAGGTGGTCAAGAATTAGCTAAAGTTGACTGATTCTTGTACTTAGGTAGGTAACTGCGTGACCAACGACGGTAGAGCATCAAAGGCGATAACCGCCCGCATTTCCATGGCTTGAGCAGCGTACGCAGGGCTGAAACACCTGTGGCGACGACGTGATGTTTCATTGAAGTTGAAAAGTTGCGTATACTGTGCCACTGTACGATCAGTTCTGCTTTGCGGTTGTGAGACCTTACATTTGCGGGTAGGATACATCCGTCGCCTAGTGGTTTTAGAAAATCGATGTTTTCGTAGTCTGGCCCAAATGGGATGGAGTGAGCGAGTTAGTAATCTAGAAGTAAGTTATCGGGTATTTGGGAATGCATCGAATACGAACTCGCTATCACATCGAATTGAGCTCAATAGGTTAGGATACGTTTTGCGTATATCCGACGGTCGCCTACCTCAGCGGGCCTTATTCGCAGTGGTTGTTGCAGTTGTAGGCAACTGCCGCGTGGCGGCCAGCAGATCGTAATCTTCGTGGAGACGAAGCATGAAGAAATGCACAGAGTAACCATAGAGCAGAACTGACCGCACATTGGCGCAATATACACGACCTTTCAGTTTCAACGAAACATCACGTCTGCACCAAAGGTGTTTTGGTCCTGCTTATGCTTCACGAACCTTGTAAATGCGGACGTTTACTTCATAGGCTATGCTACCGTCATTTGAAACGTAGCTACCTAAGTAGGTGAAACATTCCACAACACCTAATTCTTGAACATCGAGCATCAGTGCTGGGGTAGACGACACCCAGTATTGTAACCGCTTCAAATGGATACCCGGTATTATACGGCCTTCAATGCCGAACTATCCCGCCACCTTTCAGTTCAATCATTCGCCTAAAAGCTCACTGAATGCTGGATGTTAATCAAAGAAGCTGTCGAAGCAACGGTACATTCTGACACAATCAAAACAAAAGCATTGGATCTCATCAATCTCAGCTGCTTTGTTGGATGCTCACAGAAGCATGCCTCCTTTACGTGGTCAAGGTGTTTTCAAATCAAATTGAATGGAAGAAAAACCAATGAATGGGGTTCTAACTAATGGGGTTGGTGAATCCCTGGCAATTCACCCTGGGAAAGTTGACTAAAAGCTTTCATTCCAAAACAACCAAGAAGTGATGCACGAACCACACCCACCCACACCTTCCTGGTTACGGCAGTGATCACCGGCGCGATTAGGTATCAAGGTGTATTGTTAACAGCAAGCAGCAATATGATGTAACCTGAAATTGTTGAACACATTGGTCATTTCATTTGTTTCCGTTTGTTTGGTAATGTGGACTAACGAACGTGTTCGGTCAAACACAAATGTGTGTTTCACCCAAAATCTTCAGTTTTGGTTTACTTTTTGCACTTTCGCGCACCGGTTTTGGTTGCTGTCTTTTGGCCGCCTATTTGGATAAAAGAACAGAATAAAGATTGGAATGTTGCAAAGAATAATGAGTAAATGCACGAGCGCCACTGCCTGCGACACTCAGCCATATCAGTCAATGTCTCTAGCTACCGGTTACCATGATCTCGGGGTCCCTATTCGAGGAGCCTGATAGCACCTATGTGATCTAGTCTCCTGATTAAGGTTTTCATATCCTCATGTCAGGTCTTCGTTTGACCGTCCTTGACCTGTTTCCAACCGCTACCTGCCTCGACGAACATCACTGATTGAGGCAACCTATCTGGTGACATGCACAACGCATGTCCCAACCCGTGTAGTCTATGGTGGTCTATCACTTGCCTCAGAGGGTAAACGCGATCACCTAAAACTTCGCACTTGACCTCTACATTGCTTGTCCGATTTCCCACCAGACTCGTGCAATGCGGTGTAGCCAGCGGTGTTCGAACACCGACAATCTGTTTTTATCTTGTTTCCGCAAAGACCAAGTCTCTGCATCGTCGAACAGTAGTCGCCTAACTCCTGAAACATACACTCGAATGTAGGAGTAAATGAACCGTAGAAACTCACTTCTCTAACGGAAATTAAATGTTCATTTTTTCCATTAGAGAACATAGAATGCGGCAACTCCGTGCTTACTGAATCTTTTTTCCCCATTCCATTCAGTCCTACCAGATGAAGTGTTGAGCGAAGCGGTTCCCGGGTCCCTTCGAAGTGCGGACAGTTTCTTGTCGTTCCTGAGACGATTTTTGGAATACGTGAAACTACGACTCCGTATCGCGCATGTGGTACACGAGACACCCGTGGCTTTCCTCAGAGATTGTTTGGAAAAAGTTTGTGTGGACCGAAGACCGTTACAGTGAGTGCCATCGTCCTCGTCGTTTCACGATTGTGTCTGTCGTTTTCTTTTGATTCGTTGGTTCCGGGGATTGATTATGCAGTGAATCATTGTCGCAAAATTAGTCTCACTCAATCGAACTGCTAATTTTGGCATGTCAGTGACACTGCGAAGCGTCTGTGACGTTCGCCTGGTGTAATCTCAGCAAGCCAAACCTGACGAGCCAATGTTGCTACGCAACCGAAAGAATTCCCACTGTTACAGGCGTCGATCCATCTCAACGAGATGGCACCTTGACGTGGTGTGATGGCTTGCGTGCCTCCATGACCGTGCGAGCTGCACAGGATGGCTTTCCACAGCCGTAGATCCAATTATGCCTGATAGGTCAACCGGTAGAGGCCAGACGAAGCTCAGTCTCGCAAAACCAGCTGCCTGCATAGCTGGCTCCCTATGACTATCCACTCCAGCAAATAAACAAGGTAAGTGGCAGTTTATCGGTCAAAAAACCCGCTAGATGGACGTACGGGCGCAGATACCTGAGGTTTCATCTAGACGGTGGGAGATGTTCGCACTTCACTGGACAGCTACTGCCCTCCCAAGCTGGGCAGCCCCCAGCAAATCATATTCTGTACCGTCCACGTTCGGTTCCGGTCATTGGGTGCATAAGACTAAGGCCTGATCGCGGAAAGCGAACCCATTATCAACGCAACAGCGTACAGTAAACTGAAATGAAATTGAAATTCTTTGTTTCTATTAGCCACATGCCATTAAGATGTACGATTTCGCTATTTCGACGACGGTTGCTGGTGCATTGACTATAAAATAACAAAGTCACAGTAAAACACAAATAGAAT